AAAAAAAAAAACACATCTTAGTAAAACCAATCTCAGCTTCGCATCGAAGCTAAAATACGATTTTTGTAAAAAAATTATTTTTTATATTCTTAACTTTATAATGCTATAACTTTTTGAAAAATATATGGATCATTTTTTTTGAGATAAGTACTATTTATATTTATATATTATTAATATATATATTTATTTATTTATTCATATATTACACTTCTAAATCATAAAACTTGTAATCAGAATATAAATAATGAAATAGATTCTGTAGCTTTTGGAATAATCCATTAATTTTTTTAAATTAAACATTATCTACAGATTTGCATCTAAGCGTTTTTTATGACCCCACTGTGCTGGGTTTTTTAGTTTATTATTTACCTAAAATGTAAGAGTTTAACAAGATCAATAATGTGTCCATAGCCAGCATTCTTAATATACTATTTTGTGTTCATTACTTGGTTTCTTAGGAATTTTTGAATTATGCTTAAATGCCATGATAAAAAAATTGTAATATCAACTAACATATAAAATCTTCTATGCTTTGTACCATTAAAACATGATAATCGACACGACCAGCTGAGAAGCTTTCTTTTTTGGGTAGCTTCGTAGAAAGAAATTTTTCTTGGCTGTCTAATTCGTTTCTTCAATAACGATACGCTAAGTGGTTAACAGCTGTTTTAAAAACTTCTAAAGCGTAAACGTTTTTGTGGTAGTAGCTCACCATACATTTAATGGCGCCCATTTCTGGCGTTTCCTTATTTGGTTCATCTAACCATGAATTTTAATCTGTAATTTTATATTGCATATTTTAATACATATTGCATGTTAGGTATTTTTAGCTTATATAAGCATAATAGATATGCATAGATGCAATTTAGCAATATTTTTAGAGAGGCTATCTAAAAAAACCCAACACGGGGGGATGTGGTATAGTTAAAACAAGTATAGATAAAATATGAGAGTGATTAAAATCATTATCATAAAAAACGTTTTGGTGCAAATATGTAGGTAGTGTATAATTTCAAGAAATTTGTAGATTATTCTAAAAGCAAAATTAACTCCTACTTCCTTCATTATCATCGATATGTATGGTGCCATTAAAAAAATCAAGATGACACCTTTATAAGGCATAAAGGATGAAAAAAAGTAATAATTGATAAATAAAAAGTATATGAAACTAAAAAACACCAAAAATTATTTTTTTTAATAATTATTATTTTAAGATAAATTGAATGGCTAAATATTAAAAGAATCAGTCTGTATACAAAAACTTAATAACATTTTATAATTACTCTGTAAAATTAAGTTTTACAGAAGTTTTAAGAAATCTTCTTCTTCAGGTTTCTCAGTTTTCTGACTGGTGTAGCCTTCGTACAATTTTCCTCCATTCCTCTCTGTCTTTTATTTTCCTTTTAATATCAAGATATTTTATGCCCAGTTCTCCACATATCTGTGATATTTGTAAAACTTACGAAACTAAATTATTCCATATCAACTCCATACTAAATTTAATTACTATAATAAGTATTTATTCATGTATAAAATTTATAAATTATTCAATGTAAATTTCATTGACAAATCATGTTTTAAAATAGTCTGTCGGATAAAAAGGAATTGTATATACCACTTTTACAAAAAAAAAAATTGTAATAATCTATACATTTTTCATAAAGTTATAGCAATATAAATTCGAAAATTTAATTATGACTAACCCTTAGAAGATATTTAAAAATAAAATAAAAAAAAATGTGATCACAAAAATAGCATGTTTTTTAAATACAACAGCCATTTGCGCATAGAAGATATGTTGTCGGGACAAATTTTAGCTTCGATGCGAAGCTGAGAAGATATTAATTTTACCATGATGTGTTTATTTTTTTTTTTTTTTGTGTCTGTCACTACTTTTTCTCAGCTCTCACTGGACCGATTTCTTTTAACAATACGTCAAAAGATCACAAATTGTATCTAGTTGAAGACATTACCCTTAAAAATTTAAAAATTTTCCCTCGTTCCCCGCAAATGGGGGAAATATCCAAAAAAATTACAAATTTAAAAATCGACAAATTTTGTCATTTTTTTCACTTTTTTTTCTTAAAACTTCCATAACTTTTTCAAAAATCAACAAATCAACATAATTTTTTTTTAAACTAAAACCTTAGATATTTTCCTTTCATTTGATATAATTTTTTTGAAAATTTAACACTTAACCTGCTCATGGGGGGGGATTTAAAATTGCAACTTTTTTACAAAAACTAACTTTTTCAACTTAATTTTTGAAAATGTTCCGGAAATACTGCGTCCTTTAAACATATATCAAATTAAAGCTTATTTTATGTACTATAAAATGAAAAAAAAAAATTTGTCCCGACACTTTATCTTCTGCATGTAAACGGTTGCCGTAGTTAAAAAAACACTATTTTTGTGTTAAAATTTTCGATTTTCAATTTTTAATTTTCAACTTAAAAATGCTATAACTTTTCGAAAAATGCATGTATCAGCACAATTTTTTTTTTTCTAAATACATTATAAGTACATCTTCCATTTGACATACTTTTTATTAAAATTAGACAATTTCCCCTTATATAGGGGGGGTTCAAACTTTGAAACATTGTATAAAAAATAGAACTTTTTCAACTGAACTTTTGAAAATGTTCCGGAAATACTGCGTCCTTTAAACATATATCAAATTAAAGCTTTTTTTATGTACTATAAAATGAAAAAAAAAAATTTGTCCCGACACCTTATCTTCTATGTGCAAATGGCTGTCGAAATTATAAAAAAAATGTAATATTTGCGATAAAAATCACCTTTTATAACGATGTTTTTTGTACTTAAAACTGCCATAACTTTTTCAAATATTAACTAATCA